GTGGCTTTGCACTTGGAGGCACGTATGCATGGGAGTCACTGAGGGTGTCTCTTAGAATGCAGGGTCCTGGCTCCCACACCGCACCTACTGACTCAGCTCTGCACAGAGGGCAGGCAGGTTTCTGTTCTGTGAAAACCAACTTCAAGTCATTGTGAAGTACTCCTGGCTCAGAACCATGTCTTGCTCATTACCAGAGGCTAAAAATATCAGGATAGAGATTTTCCTCCCAATTAATAAGACAGATTTCTGAATGTTCAAGGGGTTACTTTATAGCAAGTTCAAACTAGATATCCAAGTAGCACAATTCATATGTTCAAGAGAAAGATTTCTCAAGAATTTAAGCTAAAAGGCAATAAGTAATAGAGAGAGAATTCAGTGTATAATAAGTAAATCAACTCATCAAGTCCACAAACAATCCCAATGCCAGGTACAGTCTCCTGAAGCCTAGCTTTCGCCTAAGAAACTAAGGGTATGATTTTAATTAAGAAACTAAGGGTACGATGACAATTAAAAACCATGCATAAAGCCCCAGGGACAGTATATGGTAGGTTGTATCTGTTCATGTAGGTTTCTTCTCACCATCACTAAATACAATAAGTAGGGTTTCCCCCTTTGAGAAATGTGGGAATGCATGTTCAGAGAGGTTAAGCAGCTGGCCCGAAGGCACACAGCTAGTAATTTAGTAAAACTAATATTGCTATGGAACCTCTGACTGACACCAAACTACATTAACTACTGGACTTTATGAAGAACTAAAATATTCTTTGTGTTCAGGAATTAAAATGATTACCACCCTGCCCAGTGTTGCTCAATGGTTAGAGTGTTGGCCTGAGCACCATAGGGTCACTGGTTTGATTCCCAGTCAAGGGCTGAGCTGCGGGTTTGCTCCCCAGCCCTGGTTGGGGTGCGTGCAGGAGGCAACTAGTCAATGTGTGTCTATTACATCAATGTGTCTCTCTTTCTCTCCCTCCCCCTTCTACTCCCTCTGAAAAGCAATGGAAACTGTTTCTTCAGATGAGTATTAACAAAAAAGAAAAAAAAAATGATTACCAAATCTCCATGTAGAAAATCTGTCCTAGAACCACAGAAATTCCTCAGTGAACGAAAGTTTCGTTTCTTTCTTTCTTTTGTTTGTTTGTTTTAATCACACTTCCTTAAAGAATCCTTTTCTTGTTCTTCCCTAAGCAATCTGAAAAGTAATTGCTAATATCTCAACGGTTATTAAGAAACACTTCCCACTGCATTAATACCTTAAAATTAAATATCTAAGTGGAGGATTCAAGCACCATAAACACAGAAGAGTGTAAGCAAGCATAATCTATAAATAGCTCTTATGAGATTGTAGATTATCTTCCTGCCACAAATCTCTCTCTCTAATATACCTCAAACTCCCTCCCACTCAACTGTTCCAAAAGATAGCTGACACTAACTTACTCAGCAGCATCCCTTTCACTAGGAGACGGCCAACATTGCCTAATGGAGCTTGCTAGCTGGAATCCCACGCTGGAGTATGGGTTTGATACTTGAATAGTGGACATTTTGTTCTTTGTCAGTGACACCTTGGAATTCGGGATATTCTTGATGGAAATTCCAGGAAACCCAGCCCCCTGACTGTAAACAGGAAGACAAGTACATATCATCTGCTACTTCATGTCAACTGAAGGTAGAAACAGAAGCAGTGATTTGTTCTATCAAGGGAAGTCCCATTATCATCTCCATGTCCTCCCGCACCACCCAGGAGATCTAAAGTGAACAACTGAACAACGGAGGACAAAACACAGGTACTCAGGGAGCTCCCAGTCTGCAGGGACTGCAGGGACAATAAGGGTGTGGGGACAAAAACACACACACAGATAAAAGTCGGTGGAGAATGCCTCGAAGGAAATCAAATAAGGCAACAGAGTAAGGAGTTGTTGCTTTTTTTTTTGGGGGGGGGGCTGCTTCCCATGGGAGGGCTGTCAGGGACAGCTGATGAACGCAGCGATCACAGCTATGCCTGCGTAAGGTGACACGGTGATATATGGCTGAGACCAGAAGAAAGAGGTTGTTTTTTCGACTCCCAGGGACATCCAAATCTCGGCGACAGTAGCCTGGCGGAGAGCAGAGCTCGCTAGTTTTAACCTCAAAAGCAGAGTTAATAATCAATCAAGAAACAAGTGGTCGCCTTTTTACTTCAATATTTCCCTCTCCCGCTACACCCTTGTTTCTTTGAAAAGCAACATTTAAAGCCCCTGAAACAAAAAAACACTAAAGCGCCTCTGTGTTCACCAGGCGATCTTTGTGGCAGTGTTGACAGTGACAGCAGTAGCTTTGGGGAAGAGGTCATTACTGGGCGTATTGCCATTAGCACCCAGCATGAGGCAGAAAGGGCCTGGAGCCCTGGCATCATGTGGATACCAGCCTCCAACACAGAGGCGAGAGAGAGAGAGGATGGTCACTGTGCTTCCCAGCGCAGGCTGGCAAATGCTGCCCGGCAACGCGCAACCGTGAGGATTGCAAAACATGAAGGGCTCGGACTTGTGTAATTTTCCTTAACCTGATGGCTGACTATGGCAGATGCTGCTTTGCTACGGGGAGGGGCTGCCTATAAGGATGATGTCCGCTGGTCAAGCTGATGTGGCCATCACCACCTACTGTGTATCTACATCCTGAAGAGAATCGTGGGTGTGCTTATTAACAGTGAAGATCCCCAAGCCCCACCACAGATTTTAAACCAGGAGGTTTAGAATAAGGGCTGGGCATCAACTTTCTTTTAAAAACTAACACCAAAATCAATTTTCATGCAGGTAGTGTAAGAATGACACTTGGAAAAACATAGATTCGCCAACTTTACAGATTCAGATTTGGTCCAAAAGGACAATTTTCAAACTCAGTCACCCACTGAGGTTTTTATATGTATGCATATGGGTTTTTTTCTTTTAACCATTTCATATTCCACAAAGAATTAGAGATGGTTTAGTATGTGCAGTAACTCAGATAAGGAACATTCTGTGATCTGTTAGAAACAATTGAAAAATGTCCAAGACAATATAATCTTCTGATTTTTTAAAAAGTAGAACTGTAAAAAAAAATTAAGCTAAGTAATAATGGTGGTGATGATAACCATATTCCACATTTTATATATGGACCCTACATGCCAAGAATTACTCTATCCTCACTGTTTAAGTTAACAAAACTATTTAAAAAAACTTGGCCAGACATTTGGGACGTCAGAGATAGTCACTATTGTAGTCGCTTGTTTATTTTTTTTAAATATGTGTATTGTTATTATTAATGGAGATATAATCCAAATACCATAAAACTCACCATGTGCAAGTATACAATTTAGTATTTTTTAGAATATTCTCAAAATTGAACAGCCACCACCAATACCTAATTCCACCACATCTTCATCACTCCACAAAACCCCTACCCATGAGCAGCCACTCCCCGCCCCTCGCTCTCCAGCCCCTGGGAACTGCTCATCTTCTTTCTGTCTCTATCCCGAGCCTGTTTGTACAGGAACTAATTTTAATGTATCCTTCAGAATTCTGAAATGAGATTTTGAGATTCTGTAGCCTATATGCTCGTATACATATTGGATATGTTTAGTATGTGCATATTACCAATCTGTGCATTCCACTGATTTGGTTTGTACTTTCTCCCATGCTACCAGCTGTGCCTCTATAGTGTCACTTTCAAGGGCTGCAGAAATTTCATCAAATAGATATTGCATAATGCATCCAACTAATCTGGTGTTGCTGGGATTTACATTTGAATATTGCGTTCTTTACAAAAAACTAGTAACCAGGTTTAGACATGTGTGCTTTGCATTTTAAGAAGCAGTTTCAAAAAGCAGCTGCTCCGATTATACCCTTCTTGTTTGCATCTGCAGATATACAAGCCAGGCATGGTGTGGGCAGTGAGGTGGAGGAAAGCTATGAGTCCCCTCTGCCCTATCACACCACAGGTCTGGACAGTCAGGGTGCCAGCTCTTTCCTATCAAAAGGAGTTCGGTGATAGTCCCTATAGGACATTCCCTGCTCAAAAGTACTTCCTGAACATTCTATTTTAAAAGTTCCACAGTAGCTAAGTTAAACATTAAAGGCACATACAAACTAAGATCGAAAGAGAACTACATTATTTGGCATTGTTTGATCCAAGCATTCCCTGACACACTGACAGCCAGGGTCAGAGCCCCGGGACCTCACTTTGCAAAGTATAACACTAGCACCCCAGCCTGATTAGCTTCTGATTTCTAGCACCAGAGTAGGGGGTGGGGGGGTGTTTTCTAAGACTTAGGCAGGGGACCTAACTGCATAGGAATTTGCATTTATATGAAGGGGCTGAAACCCAGCTTTGGCATCAGCAGGTGTTTAGTCTTTTACTTTCCTGGGGAAGCAGGGGCTATCCTAATAAATCCTCCTTTCCTCTTCCTGCACATTTAAAACCCATCTTTGAGCTCCACTGACTCCATGAGGTTAGACTTTGGTATTGAGTACAAAGGGAGGAAAAGTATGTGTGTGGGGAGAGAGGACAGAGAGAAGCAGGGGCGAGGAGTGAAGGGACAACCTGGGGCTCCCACATCCCTGAGCCCTTCACTGGAGAAGGCAGAGGCAAAGCCGACTGCGTGGAAGCCCGAAGGGGTGTCAAAGATGCCCAGGCTCCAATGGGACCCACAAATCCACACCCACCAGTACATATGCTCTTTCCTGGGCACGGCCACACATGAAGTCCCGTGACTGCAGTTTCTGTTTTAAGACTCCTTGATTTAGTTTCTGTTTTAGCAGGTGCACAATAATGATTTTATTACGAAAGGTGAACGTCTTGTAAACTAATGGGAAACATATTGCTTGGCAGAGTTTTTAATGTCAGGATTTATGTCCCTAACACGGAGGGTCTCTCTCTGACCTCGAAGATAACACAATGAAACAGCGATGTGCTGCCATGACTCAGTGTGAGTTTCTATTAGTTTTCATAATCGCCCCTGATTCATTTGTATGCATATAATGAGCACTCACCTTCACAGTCTGTCCAGCTTCGGGGCCATCCTACAAGGAGGGGAAAAAACACACAGGTGAGAACAGAGCTGGTATCTCCAACTCATTCTGAAATATCCCCTATTAATAATTTAGGTCCAATTTCATTGTGTGTTCATTTACATTATTCTCCTGGGAACCATTCGCTTCAAATGTGTGGGACCAAGCAGTTCTCCATTTCTACCTGAGAGTAAGTCAGAAGTGATATATAAAAATGACATAAATTATCCAGTTAGCCAACCCCTTGCTACTTTTCATGTTCTTTGCTCTTGGCTATGGTTTCAGTTGCATTAAAGGGAGGTGAAGTATCACACATTTTGGTTATCTTTGAATTAGATGTAGTTTAATTAAGGTCTGACTACTTTAAATCTCTGCTCAGGAAATCTGCTATAAACATAATTCATTAAGCAAGAATAAGGGTTGTCTCATATGGGACTGGCATCCCAGAGCATGTTCTACCTGGCTGTTCTGACCTTGGGGGAGAGAAATGGGAGTGTTCATTGTAGCCGGGCCTTTTGCCCATTCTGGCTCCTTCTCTCAGCTTTCTGAAGCCCCACAGAAGTATTTGCTTAATTGGAAATGAACAACCTCATCCAGTCACCAGGCATCATACAAAGTCAAAGCGAGGGCTGAGCAGCTTTGGGATCTCAGAACCAGCAATGTGTCTACAATCAGAAATTCCAAACTGAACTAGAGCACTGTAACTTCAGGCAAGTCTTTCTACCACCATGACCTACACTAATGGGATGGGAAATCTTGCCCTGCGGTGGGGCAGGGCTGCATGACCTGTCGTTTTCAAACTTGGAGTCACAACCCACCAGAAGGTCAGGAAGTCAACGGAATGGGTTGTGTCAACACTAAAAACAAATCAGATAATAGAACAAAATCTATTAGAATATATAGAATGGGTAAACATTGTCTTCTGAAATGCTGATTTCCTAGATGTATGTGCATGTGGGGGGTATACATGATTGTGAAATAAATATATATCTTACTGTGGGGTGAAGTTAAAAGAAGTTTGAAGGTACTCAAAGCACAAGTCAGTTCTGTATTTATGGAATTAACTTTGTAGTGAATCGTGTGAGATACCCAGTACTAGCCATTTTCTGTATGTGTGGGTTCCCTGTTAGTATTTCATTAAACGCTGACAGCTGTCTTCCCCAGGTGCCTTCATTCAGTCCCTCTGGAAACAAGATTTGTAGCATAAGTTTGATCACCCCACTCTGACCCTGTTTGAGGAGATTCAAATGGTTTGACATACAACACACACACACACACACACACACACACACACACACACACGGGTTGTACAGGGAAGTTTAAATACTATTAACACAGACATAGTGGCCAAAAAGAATTTTTTATGAGAAGCAGATGAGCATTTCTAGTCAGAGCCTTTCATAACCTGAAAACCTTGACTTTCTTTATCTGTTCCATTTGGTAGAGAGCAGAGGAGGGCAGAGGAAGGATGTTAACTATTCAGTTCAGTTAAAGCACCGAGTACAAGGTCTCATGTTGTGGAATAATCCATAATCCATTTTTCCCCCAAATGGGTTATTGTAGAGTCACCAACTTTCAAAGCTACAAGGACTTTACTATGGATTGATACTCACGGGGCACCGTTTGACAAGTGTAGACTCACCCCTGCCTGAAGGTCTCCAGGGATGGGGGTCTCATTTATTTACCAGGTGGCTGGCCATATGAACTATTCAATCCATGTAGAGTCTGACCAATCCATAATCAATCACTGAGACTTGATTTATGGACAGAGAAAAGGTCTGCTCTCCGCAGGCCGGGCCCCACCAAACTTGCATATCTCAACTCGACTGGAAGTTGAGCAGAGCTAAACAAGGCAGTGTTTAAAACACAGTCACCATGGAATGGAAATGTCTGGCCCAGCCGTAGCTCTAGTGAAAGGTATGGAATGCTGGAAAGCCCATTAGGTTACACGTCCATGACGCCCACCTGTCTTGTAAGCAACGCTGCTGACATGATCTCAGCTGATATTCCACAGTCTACCGTGGGGCCCGTGGACAGTAGGGTGGTCCTGGATTAGTTCTATCCTTTTCTGCTATGATGTCAGACATGAATAACCACAGCTGCCTTCCCAGTGGGCTGGCCGGTTCAAAGGGGGGCAACGCCCAGTGCTAGGGTTTGAAAAGGAAGAAACCTCATCTCTGAGCATCTGTTCACTCACCTGCATAGCAAGAGTAAGAGAAGTCCCCTGGAAATGCTTTTCCACCACCTTGCTGACCCTCTGGGTGGCCTGAAACAAATCAGCCGCTTCGTCGGGACGCAGATCTCGAAAGCGCTCCACTGGCCGGAGGGGGCACACCAGGACATCTGCAGGGAGGTCTGTTAAGGATCACTGTGCTTGCTGTTTTCCCAGAAAGTGTATGCCCACAGGATTACAGCCCTTTGGCCCAGGACCTGAACTCTCAAAGACAAAAAATCAAGAAACAAATGTTTATCAAACTACAAGGGGTTCAAAGAAGACTTGCAAACGTGGTTTATTGCCCTGTGAAGGAGAAGCTGGGATGCGCTGGAGAAATTCTTAGAAGAGCAAGGAACATCAGTGTTTCAGAGAGACGCGGGTGCTGGCTGAGATAATTATGCCAAGAGGCAAGCTATCTTCTGGTCTATTATTTCCTGACCTTATTCTAAAGCTCTGGCCTCTTAAACAGCCCAAGGTACTGGGCTGGAAAAGCAACTAGCATAGCCAGTTGGTGTCTCAAACAAGAGCATCATGATTAAAATTTTAATTTCAATATCTCTTTGAAGAAATATGTAATGAAAATATAATAGTAGTTTTATTTATTTTATTTTTAAAACCAGTGTAGACATTCTTAAAACATATAGTGCATTTCACCTATAACCAATAGATGTATCATGTGGTTGAACAATTATGACAAGGATTCTGCAAACTGATTATTAAGAATTCAAGAAGGCAGTTAAAAGGCCCAGTTGGTTGAGCAATGTCCCATGGTTCAATTCCCGGTCAGGGCACATGCTCCAGTTGTGGGCTAGATCTTCAGTAAGGGGTGTGAAGGAAGCAGCCGATTGATGTTTCCTCTCTCCCTCTCCCTTCCTCTCTCACTAAAATAATTTTTTAAAAATAGTATTGAAAAAAAAAAGAAGAAGGCAGTTAAAGGTAAATCATTAATTTACGAAAAGGACTCCCTGCTGTTGCAAATACAGTGGGGCCTTGACTTACGAGTGTCCCGACTAACAAGTTTTTCGAGATACCAGCCGTCTCTCAGCAGATTTTTTTGCTTTGAGATGCGAGCTAAAATTCGGGTTACAAGCCAGCCTCAGATACCCCACCGCTAGTTGGCGCAGCAAACGTCACAGTGAATGCCACAACATCAGCCCAGCATCACGTGTCTCACTCGTTCACTTTTTGATTTGACATATGAGTAATTTGAGTTATGAGCTCCGTCATGGAACGAATTAAACTTGTAAGTCAAGGCCCCACTGTAAAAGTATCTTAATGCATTCTATAAGTTAGACAAGTCAACATATTTACATTATTAGCCTGAACAAGCAACACAATATAGAGAAAAATGATATATACATTTGATCATTTGTTGATAGCAAATTAATATTTAATATTACATCATTAATAAAACTTCAGTTATCTTTTGTATTTGAAATCATCATATAAGTGTGGATATATACATATATATATATACTTATGCACACATATGCATACACATAAACTATATTAACTTTTGCTCTGGCCTGGTGGCTTGGTTGGTTGGTAGCTTGGTCATCCCATACACCAAAAGGTTGTAGGTTTGATTCCTGGTCAGGGTGTGTAGGGGAGGCAATCTGTCATATTGATGTTTTTCTCCCTTTTTCTCTCCCTGCCTCCATCCCTTTCTTCCTCTCACTCAAAAAAATCAATAAAAGCATCTCTTCAGGTGAGGACTTGAAAAAAAAAGGTATATTAACTTTTGTTTAATTTCTAGATACCAGCAGGAGGTAAAAAGCACTTTAGTGTTCTTTTCTGTTTCTTTTTTCCTTTTTTCTTGTTTTAACAGAACCTGCTGCTGCCTGGAGCTAAGCAGCTAAAGGTCATAATAAAACCACAATTCTACAGTCTCGCCAGAATCTTGAGCATTTTAGCCCATCACAACATTGATAGGCCTCAGGCCCCAGGGAAAGTGCAGTGAGCTCAGCCCGACAGGTCTGCTTTCCATAAGAGAAGAGGAAAAAAAGAGGGAAAGCTGATTAATTTTTCTCATAATCAGGAAGTTCATGTCAACAGTAAACTAGGAAAAGGAACATTTGTTTAATCTGAGCTCATTTTTCAAGAGAGAAGGGAGGCCTTCACCCACAGGGCATCTGATACTTAGAAAGATAATTATCCTTTGGCAGGGCTGTTTTATTATCATGGGTCAATGAACTGTTTAGAAATGAAGAATTTCCTTTCATTTCCTTTTAGCAGATCGCCAGCCTCCACTCCCACTAGTTGCTTTTCTTTGTTAAAGGAGACCTTTCCCCATCTTCCTCCTTCTTGCATTAATTTACACCCACCCTGGGCCCTGACTTCATCAAACCACAGCAAGATGATGCACGCATCTAGCCATCCACACAAAGAAACTGGGTGGGGGTGGGGAAGAAACAACATTTTATTTAAACAATTACTTACTATGAACACTGGTGGGATGAATCTGACGATCTTTATAACTTTAGTCATACCAATGACATCAGAAAGGATTTTCTCAGTATCATAAAAAATCTTATCGGATCATCTGTCCATTTTGTGAATCTGATGCTAAAGATTGGCTTGTCCAAACGTCTAATGATTTAAAATACTTATGGAACCAAATAAAAATGTCTGAATTTGTCAGATGTTTTATCCTGTGCAGTATATCCAACCAGAGAGTAATGCATCACACATATTTATTATTTTAATTAAACATTAATAATGATAATACAACATGTCACAAAACAGTTAAATAGGGTAAACACATTCTCATCTAGGTGTCTATTTTTCACCAGCCTATTTAGCAACACTGACCTGATATATACTAGGACATACTCTGCAACCCAACCCTTCGTTAATAAGTCATTTTATCTGCATGTAACATACACACACATTTCTATGCAAATAATAAGATAAATAAAGACCACTTTTCATATGGGTGAAGTGTTCATATGGGTGATGGATGATCATTTTTCTTCATTTTGTTAGAACTTGGAGGATGGCCAAAGAGGCATCTCAACCCGGAAGTGGCTGCAAAGGTGGGCTCCACACAACTCTAGAGGCGGTTGATGTGTCTGGAGCGACACAGGGTGAAGTTCTGGAGCTCTGGGCTGTGTGAGTAGTTGACCTGGCCAGTAGCAGGTTGACTAGCCACACTCCCTGGGCCATTCTAGACTCTCATCAGAAAGTCAGGACCAACCACTGTCCTTCAATTCCTAACAGGAGTGGGGACATCTGGCCTGCGGGCCATATAAAGCCCATAAAGTCATTTGGTCTGGCCCTGCCAAGGCATTAGGGGTGAGTCCATTAAATGTTTGACAAAATATAGCAGGCTATTTGTTAGGTTGATAATTCTGTATTGCCCGTGAATGAATGATGTTATAAATATCCAAATATCCAAACCTTGGCAGCAAAAAGGTTCCCCACCCCTGCTATAAAGCTATAGCACAGCGGTTCTCAACCTGTGGGTCGCGACCCCTTTAGCGGTCGAATGACCCTTTCACAGGGGTCGCCTAAGACCATCCTGCAATATCAGATATTTAAATTACGATTCATAACAGTAGCAACGTTACAGTTATGAAGTAGCAACGAAAATAATTTTATGGTTGGGTCACAACATGAGGAACTGTATTTAAAGGGCCAGAAGGTTGAGAACCACTGCTATAGCAGAAAAGAGCCTCTCCCTAAACCTCACCATGGGCCACATCCTAATGCCCACCCACCTCCCGACCTCCCCTTCCCCACCCTCTCCTGCACACTGTGCACCCGTCACGTTTGCTTTCTTTCTGTTCCTCAAACACAGCAAGTTCCTTCCCAGATATACAGCCTTTATCCTGGCTGTGTGTTCTTCCTAAGATGCATATGGTCGCTTCTTTCTTATTATTCAGATTCTGATTCCAATGCCGCTCTCTCAGTGGGACACTTAACTGCTGGGTGGTTTAAACTGCTACCTGCTTACTCACTCTACATCACCCTATGTTCATCTTGCCTTGGCCTTTGCCACCAGCTGGTAGTTTTCTTGGTCGGCTGCCACCTTCCCAGGTGAGAAAATCAACTTGACAAGAGTGAGAACTTAAGTCTTGTTTAATGATATTTCATCACCGCCTATACCACCAGAGACATTTAATAAGTATTGCTGGAATGAATGAATAAATAATAAACCAGATCCCGATATCAGTCACCTTGGAGTACTAGAACCCTGAGGAAATTCACTTACTTTTCAATTATCTGTACAAGATTGGGATAGTTTGCACGATTTTTTTTTTAATTCAAAGAGATTTATCCTTAATATCCAGCATAGTTAGAACTAATGTTGGATGAGAGCTAAGGAAATGTAAACTCATTTGTAATGTAAACTAATTTTCATATGAGCCCAAAGGAAATATAATTATGAAGGTAAAATCCTTTTTAAAAATCCTTTTATAATTAGAAAGAAGTGGTTTCTAGAATATTCGGAATCTCAGATAAACTACGTATAGAAAAATACTGCTTTATACTATGAATAGGAAATGTAATTCATTTTTTCACTCAGCAAACTGTGAGCACCAGTTAGTGCAGACACTATGCGAGGCTCTGAGATAGCTAAGGGGAGAATGAAGCTGCTCTTGCCCTCCAGGCCAGGCTGCAGGCATTGAGGCAGTACTGGGGGAGGCACAGATGACACATAGAAGCTTCTAGCTGGGGCACCTTCGTAAGGCAAGGGTTCCAGGGTAACCATGAGTAAACTCCAAATTGGATAGATCAGTCCATGGCTACCTGGACATATAAACGGGTTCATAAAGGATTTAGAGCAGGTAAGCAAACTTTTTCTGCAAAGGACCAGATGTAAATATTTAGGGTTTGGTGGGCCATATGCCCAAGCAGCCATAGACAATGCAAACACTAATAGGTGTGGCTATAAACAATAAGAGGAGGTGGGCCAGATTTGGCCCACGGGCCTGAAAGTGTCAACTCCAGATATAGAAGAATCACATTCGAAAGAGCTAACTAAGGGAAATCGGAAGTACTGGGGGCCTATTCTTGTTTCCCTAAATTGAGGACTGTAATGCTAGCTTGATAACATATTAGATGAAGATTAGAGTATCTCACAAAACTTAACTGTCCAAGAAAAATATCTGAGCATGAGAAAGCATATTTTTATTTGAAATCATCAGATATGTGTGGGTATATACATATGCATACTTATGCATACAAACGCATACACACATGACCTACAATGCTTCTGATACTTTCAAGAGCAATCACACACACACACACACACACACACACACACACACACACGGGCAATCACAACCAGAAAATGTTATGCTATTGACACCATGAAATAAATCATGAGTGTTTCTGCCCAATACAAGCCAAAGGCATTTTTGGCATCTCTAATTGGGAAAATGCAGCATATCATCTGCAAACAAGCAAGAACACCAGAGCCGTGTGCTATTTACAAATTCATCTGAGAATAAAGTACTTTCTCAAAATAAGTGCGTAAGCCTCAGAAGAAAACACCATATTGCTGGAAGATGGTAGGTATGTGCTACAT